ATTTAAAGAAATTAAGGCAAACCTCTAAATTTAAGGTTAACCTCTAAATAAGGCAAACCTCTAAATTAAGGCAAACCTCTAAATAAGGTTGCAACTTTAAACAATTCAATTAAGGTAAACCTCTAAATAAGGTTGCAGCGTTAAGCAATTCAATTAAGGCAAACCTCTAAATTTAATCATAAATATAATTTTGGTATTAAAATTTTTTAGGATGGCTTGAGAGCCTATTTTCATCTTTACTTATAAATTATAAACTTTAAAAATGGTTAAACTCAAGTAGATTTATAAACACATGAAAATTTTGAAAATGGACGGTCCAAATAATGTCTTGCAAGATACACACTTTATGGGACTTAAAATCTTTTTTTTCAATTAGAGAAGTTTCCAACATCAAAAAAATATTTTATTATAGATTTTTTATGTGCACCTTAATTTTACATTTTAAGGTTAGATAAACTTTTTCCATTATTACAAAAAGGGAAAAGTTTATATAGAGCCTAGGCTCTAAACAATCAAATTAGAGCCTACCTCAAAAATTTCACTAGAAGATGTTGTTATGATAACCAAATATCCTCAAATTGCTAATCTTGACATCAAGATGCATGGACTTTAGAAAAAAAATGGACTTCAAGTCTTGAAAATAGTACTTCTTGTAACGCATTTTTGGACCTTTAATTTTTAAGTTTTTCAAGTTTTCATAGATCTGTTCGATCTACATCATTTTTTTAAGCTTTAAATTTTATAATTAAAGATAAAAATATATTTTAAGGTTAGTCACAGATTTATAGTATTAAAACCACATTTCTCGATACTATTTGAAGGTGGGCTCTAATTTGATTGTTTAGAGGCTTGGCTCTGTACAAATCGGACCCGAAAAGAAAATACCATGACAAACAGTTGCTTACAAATAAGATAGTTGGCAGCACAAAAAAAGAAGAGAACAGCTCCTTTTGTTTCTATATTTACTGAATAACTTGATTTTTTTTTTTTTTTTGGGGTGGGGGGTCCCGTGGTGTGGATAATGGATATGATGTTGAGATAAAAGCTAAAATAAGCTAAAAGATTCCAAACCAAAAAAATGTGGAATTGAATCTAGTAAAGGCTATCATGGGTCCTTTTCCACCAGCCTTGCATTGGTTGGTGGTGGGTACCCATGAAAGAAACTATCAAAATTGTCCTTAAAATTGAGCCCCTAATGTTATCTAAAAAAAGAAAAAATAAGTACTTGGAAAAAGGAAACTAGCAAAGGTGAGGAAGTTGTTCTTGTATATGGTTAAAAATAGCTTACAAAAGGCAACACCTTGAGATTTGGAGAATAAATGGCAAATTAGGTTTTAATTTTGATTGAATTGCATGTTGAATTTAGGAAAAACTCATGAATCATGGTTTAGGAAGATCTCTGGTAGGATAATTTAAGTGACAAATCAAACTTCACAGGGGAAGTTAATGATGGATAGCAGTGTTTAAAAATTGCCAATCTAAGTCTGATTGGGATCTTGAGGTGGGCTATTCTAGATGCCCATTTTTTTAATTTTTAATTCATTTTTTAATTTTTTTGTAGAGCATAGCCTCGTCCGACTCTGAAATCATCCAACTCGCAGTGAGAGAAGTAAGATCGGACCGTGCCGATTCAATGTACGGTTCTATTTTTTAAATATTGATGCATAGATTCTAAATTTAGTGACCCAAGAAAACAAATGAAAAACAAAATATAGTGGAGAGATGGTTCTTTTTCGAACCATTTCAAGCATAATTAAATGTTAAAATTTGCCCCTTCCCTTTTGTCGGGGAATGACCATTATATCCTTAACCAAACCAATACTTTCTGTAGCACCCTTGAATTTGGAAAATCTAAGACATCCCATGTCTATGAAAATTTTGAAAATCTTACAAATAGAAACCCCTAAATGGATTTCCCTTACCTCAGGCTGTGCTTAAGATGTTTCCTAGGTTTTTATTTTTTATAATCCTTGAAAGAAGCGAAATGGTTCCAAATTTGGCACTCTTTCATTAGGATAATAATTATTTCCAATAAAGTCGTCATTTTTCTTTAGAAAAAGAAAGGTAAAGATAAATTATAAATGGGCAATTGCCAAATAAATATTCATGATTGCCCTTTTATTAGATATATGTGCAGGATAAAAGATTTTATGCACCCTACGGAGTATATATTGTCCATTTATTTCTTAAGGAAAAACCCAATTTAAGAGTATTTCTAGGACCCCGAGTATTGGGGTTGTAACATTTTGAATGAATATGGTAAATTCAAGAAATAAAATTTCGAAATCATGCTCTTTATGAGCTTGAAGAAAATAAGGCCTATTCAGTTCTTGATCTAAATGTTAGATAACTCAAAATTAAAATTTTCTTTTGAATACAATTATTTTGTTAATTTAGGTGATTTTCAAATTAAAATGATCTTCCGAGCTGAGTCTTTTGCCTGAGGCAATAATTTACAATATGATCCTGCAGGAGCATAATACATGCAGCTACCAGATATTTAGGAAGATAATTAATGTTTGTTGCGCAGGATTGCCATGTGGTGGGGCGGGCACACTGACCAAAGAGTTAAAGAAGTTAAAGTCTTTCTTTTTTATTTACAGTCAAATTAACCGGGTTCATATTTATAGATTTACCCACCGAATTTAAACAAAATGCTGGTTTGACAAGGAATCATAAAATCGGTCACTCCATTCCGGTTCTGCAGATCTATATATATAGAAAAACGGCAAGTCTAGAAAGGAACCCGCGGTTCCACACGTTAAAACAATTATTCTCTATAGTAAGACGGCGGTCCGGACTGTTGATTCTGTTGATTCACCGATACTCTAGTTTATTAATTTATTCACGTGTTTTTCTATCAGTTCATAGTTTTATTTTATTTTATTTTTGCATAGTAAAATGATGATCCAGACTGCCAATTCATCAATTCAGATTGATTTTTGGGGTGCCTGATCCAGATCATCCATCCGTTTTTTAAATCACTGGATTTACCTTATCTCCCCTTAAAATATCTCTATCCATTATCAAAGTTTCGACAATTAAACAAGAGCCTGTTTGGATGTTAAATAAAAAAAATTTCACATTGAAAATAAAAAATAAGTTTTCTCATCAACATTGTCATCTTTTATTATTATTATTATGTTGGATTGTTTGGATGGAGTTAACATACTAAAAGCAAAGTCACATTCTACGCTTCGAAAATTCTCTTGCCTATCCAAAAGGTTTTTCTATATCTCTCGCAATTTCTTCCATACAATAAGCAAACCTGCAATCTGAGCTTCTGAAGAGAAGGGTTTCTGTGGGTGTGGTATGAGAGAAAAAGCATGCCTTTTGTAGAGAGAGAAAGGGTATTGGCTTTACAAAGAGGCCGCCTAAGGTCGCCATAGATGGGACTTGAGCTTCTTTTGTTTTTTTAGAGAGAAAAAATAAAAATGCTATGTTTTACAGAGATAGTAGATTTGGGGTTTCCGAGGTTTCATGAAGTTGTTGGTACGAACAGTTATAGAAACCATGAACAGTTATAAAAACTGTATATTCATGTATAAATCCGCCATTGTAAATCAAGTTTATTAGATAATAGAAACATCTTCTCACATCGTATCAAAGCAAAGTTCTCTGCTCTCAGTCTCTCTGGCTCCAAAGGTGTGCAACGGTTCGCACTAGTCCATGGTTATTGCCAGTCTGTGAAATGCTTCTCTCTCTCTCTCTCTCTCTCTCTCTCTCTAATTTCTCGATCTTCCTGAGGTTCGGTCTCTTCTCTCTCTTATCTCTGCAATCTCTTTCTCTCTCTAAGTATTTCTCGATCTTTATTTTTTTGGACTTACCGTTACATTCCAAAATCCAAACCTTTCTTTTATGCTTGTCTCCATAAACCCTTCTCTAAATCCACAATTGAAAATAGTATCTGACAACAATTGATCTGTACCATCTGCAAAACAACCATCAAGTCGTGTTTCGACTCTTTGCTTTTTCTCTACCGAATCAAGTTTTGACTCTCTGATCTGTTTCTCTGTCGAGTCGTGTTTTTTACTCTCTGATTTGTTTATCTATCGAGTCGTGTTTTCGACTCTCTGACTAGTCGAGTTGTGTTTCGACTATCTGATCTGTTTTGGATCTTACTGTTCTCAACTCCAAATCTAAGATCCAATTGTGTTGTTAATCTGCCACTGATTTTTGTTGGCTCTTCTAAGAGCCTACTATTTGATGATCGAATTTCTTGATCCCAAAAGTTCCGTCTATTCCCGAGGCGTCAATTCTTGAGATCTGCCGCTTTCTCTGCTTGTTGTTCAAGCAATCTGATCATGGAGACCACTACTTCTATCGGTCATACCTTGCACCTGAAGATCGAACTCAGTTCTTTTATGTCACTTATTGTTCAAACTCGAGCAGTTTTGTATCAAATCATCTTGAGTTTGAGGGAGAATGTGAACAGTTATAGAAACCGTGAACAGTTATAGAAACTGTATAACTGTGAACATTTATAAAACTGTATATTCATGTATAAATCCGATGTTGTAAATCAAATTTATTAGATAATAGAAACAACATCTTCTCACAGTTGGGTCACGGGTTGAAGTTTGCACGATATGAGAGAGCTGCAATTTCATCAAAAAAAAATTTGTACTTTAATTATTTTTACAGTAATTTTTGCCTTAACACTGCATTATTTTTTATTTTAATCAAAAAATCTAAAAAAAATTTAAAGTTGTCCAAACGGTTCAAATCTATTTTGTTTACATCCAAACGGCCCTAAAGCTTGTTCTTTTGTATTATAACGCGCTTGATCCTGTACCAAGAGTGAGGAATTTCATTGTTAAAAATGAAAGGTGTTTCTCTAAAAGGCATTAATAATGAAAGGTGTTTCTGTAAATACCTACACCAAATCTAAAAAAAAGTAAAAATTCATGGAGGGCATTAATAATTGTATGCATGGGGTTCAATTTTCAAAAAAGATGGTGAATGGAATAGGATTGGATTGAACAGAGGGAGAGACAGATGCAGCCAATGGAGAGAGAAGAGAGAGAGCCACAAGCCAAGAGAGAGAGAGAGAGAGAGAGAGAATTGGGACCATAATGGTATCATGCATTAAAAAATAACTCCATGGGAACAAGCATGGCCTTACATCTTTTAAGAAGTAAGAGAATGTGATGGAGTGAGATAGCTCTTGCATCTTGCAGAGACTCAGAGAGAGAGAGAGAATATAGCTCACGGAATATTTAATGAATGCACTTAAACAGTGTTGAGAATAAAGCAGAGAGAGAGAGAGAGAGATGTTTTGCATGGAGCTGAGAGGTGAGCAGATCTTTATTTCTTTTTTTGAAATGTTGAGAGATACGGAGATTTAGTTTAAGCTTTTCTACAGAGAGAGAGAGATATCATGCTGGTCAGTGTGAAATAGCTCTGTATTTGGTACTGAGAAGAAACCAAAGATAATTTAAGGAGAGAGAGAGCAACCATGCCAAAACCCAAGTCCCAATTTCTTCTCATTCTCTCAATCTCACTCTGGTTCTGGGCTTCACTTACAGTGGTAGCCACCATTAACCCAGAAGCTGAAATCATATTCTTATGGCTGCAATCTTCAAACTCTACCCATTCTCTCCCTTCATGGAATCCCCAAAAGAGCCCAGATCCCTGTTTATGGGATTACATTTCCTGTTCTCAAAATGGTTTCGTCTCTGAAATCGATCTACACTCTCTTCAGCTCGGAGCTCACTTTCCCTCTGAATTTTTAGGCCTAAAACACCTCGCAAAGCTCACAATTTCAAACTCAAATCTCACTGGAAAAATCCCGAAAGAGATTGGTCAGTTTCCCTCTCTTGAATTCGTCGACCTCAGCGACAACAACCTTGAAGGAACCATCCCAAAAGAGATTGGAAACCTCTTCAAACTTGATACACTTCTTTTGGGGTCTAATTTCCTCGAAGGTTCGATCCCCATTGAACTCTGCAACTTATCAGAGCTTCGAATACTTAGCCTCGTTGATAATAATCTCAGTGGTCATATTCCTCAAGAGATTGGTAAGCTTTCGAAGCTTGAAATCATCCGAATTGGTGGGAATTCAAACGTTTCTGGTGAGATTCCTGAGCAAATTTCAGAGTGCAAGAATTTAACTTTTTTGGGTCTTGCTAACACTGCAATTTCAGGCAAGATTCCATCAGGTATTGGGCTTTTAACAAAGCTCAAGACCATCTCAATTTACACCGCCATGATTTCAGGTGAGATTCCACCTCAAATTGGAAATTGTAGTGAGCTAACGAACCTTTATTTGTACTCAAACCAACTTTCAGGTGAGATTCCAGTTGAATTGGGTAATTTGAAGGGGCTTGAAAGAATTCTTCTATGGCAGAATAACCTCTCTGGAAAAGTTCCACCCATTATAGGAAAGTGCACAAATTTGATGGTCATGGACCTCTCTCTTAACCAGCTTTCAGGCGAGATTCCTGCGAGTTTTGGTAATTTAAGGCATCTAAATGAGCTGCTTCTCTCTGATAACAACTTTTCTGGTGAGATTCCAGCGAGTTTGGGTGAACTTTCAGGCCTATCTCAGCTTGAGTTAGACAATAACCAACTTTCTGGTGAGATTCCGGCGAGTTTGGGCAAGTTGGGTAATCTCACTCAGTTTTTTGCTTGGCAAAATAGGCTTCAAGGAAAAATCCCAGTGAGTTTAGGAGACTGTAAAAGCCTTGAAGCATTGGATTTATCAAGGAATTCTCTCTATGGAACTATCCCGGCATCCATTTTCAGGTTAGAAAATCTCACTAAGTTGCTTCTTCTCTCAAATGAACTGTCAGGTGGGTTATCACCGGGGATTGGACAGAGCTCGAATTTGATTAGAATTCGATTGGGTTTTAATAGATTAACCGGTGAAATTCCTAAAGAAATTGGTTCATTGGAAAAATTGAATTTCCTTGAGCTATCGGAAAATCAGTTTTCAGGTGAAATTCCAGCTGAAATTGGGAACTGTTATGAGCTAGAGATGCTTGACCTCCATGGAAACAAGTTCAAAGGTACAATTCCTCTCTCTTTAGGTTCTCTCTTAGGTCTCCATGTATTAGACCTCTCTATGAATAGACTCACAGGTTCTCTTCCTGATGCCATTGGAAAGCTGGTTTCTTTGAATAAGCTTATGTTAAATGGGAATTATCTCTCTGGTTCGATACCAAAATCGATAGGATCATGCACAAATTTACAGTTACTAGACATGAGCAGAAATCGGTTCTCTGGTTCTATCCCTTCAGAGATTGGTAAGTTGCAGGGGCTAGACATCTCTCTGAATTTGAGTTGGAATTATCTCTCTGGTTTTATACCTGAACAGCTATCTGCCCTCTCTAAACTTGCAATCTTAGACCTCTCTCGGAATACCTTATCCGGGAGTTTGACTTTATTGGGTAGCCTCGAAAACCTGGTTTCTCTGAATGTTTCTTACAATAATTTCTCTGGTTATCTCCCTGATAACAAGTTTTTTAGAGAGATGCCTCTCTCTGTTCTAGAGGGGAACAAAGGCCTCTGTTATGGCAAGGATTTGTGCTATCTTAGCGATAGAGAGACCCGAAACTCTGAAAAGAACAGAAAGAGCCTTAAATCCTTAATGGGTTTGCTCTTTGGTCTAACTGCAGCCTTGCTGATATTGGGTTCAGTGCTTTTGATTCGAGCTCGTAAGATGCAAGATGAAGATTTCGAGAATGGGCATGAAAGAGAAAAGGCATGGCAATGGCAATTCACACCATTTCAAAAGCTAAACTTCTCTCTAGAAGATGTTCTCAAGAGGTTGGTTGATATCAATATAATTGGAAAAGGATGCTCTGGTGCAGTTTACAGAGTTGAGACCCGAAATGGGCAAGTTATTGCAGTGAAGAAGTTGTGGAATTCAAAGAATGATGAGAGAGAAAGAGATTCATTCTCTGCTGAAGTGAAGACCTTGGGTTCCATTAGACATAGAAACATAGTTAGGCTTTTGGGGTGTTGCACAAATAGGAACAAGAGGCTATTGATTTATGATTACATGATAAATGGGAGCTTGGGGTGTTTGCTTCATGAGAAGAAAGAGTTTTTGGATTGGAATGTAAGGTATAATATAATTCTTGGAGCGGCGCAGGGGCTTGCTTATCTCCACCATGACTGTTCTCCCCCTATTGTTCATCGAGATATAAAGGCAAACAATATACTGATAGGGCCTGATTTTGAGGCATGTCTTGGAGATTTTGGACTCGCAAAGCTTGTGGAATCGACTGAATTCACGAAGTCCTCACACACAGTGGCTGGTTCTTATGGCTATATTGCCCCTGGTGAGCTCTCTCTCTCTGTAGATTTCTGTATGTGCTTTTCACTTAGTGAGAAGTCTCCCATAACTACCCATCAGTCCTTGCTGGAAGTCTGATTCTTTATCAAGAAACCAATTTTTCATTAGTTCTGCTCCATGCTCTCCCCATTAGCTTTGAAAGAAGCAAAGATATCAACTCTTTCCGATTTAATGCATTAATTAGTCTTCTTTTCTTGCATGCATGAGCACAATTTTCTTATCCTTAATTTACGTTTGCTCGAGTCGCCAGTTGATATCTCTCTTCTAAACACTAAGCCTAAGAATGAACACCTCTCCATCAGTTCCCTAATAAGAAACTAATCCTCCAAATAAAAAATTTCCAGTTACTTTATAAGAAATTCCAAACTCCAAATTAGCCATCTGAACAATACTAAAGTTTTATTTTTGTAAAAAAAAAAAAGGATCAGGCTTTTCTGTCTTCTTTGTAGTCTCAAGAAGCAGAGAAAATTTGGGCTATTCCTCTGTTGAACTATTCTTTATCTGACCACAATATCTACAATGCTCGTCATATAATATTATGTTTTCCCATCGAATGGTAATGTCCAAGTTCATTGAACTATCTGGCAATAATTTTCTTGCCGACTGCAGAATATGTTGTGGAATGATGATCTTCTTTTTCTGAATGCATAGTTAGTTAATTCTGAATGCAGTATAGAATGATGATCTTCTAGACTATGCTATAATTGAGTTATATCGATTAAATGTTTTTGCAGAGTACGGATATAGAATGAAGATCACAGAGAAGAGTGACGTGTACAGCTTTGGAGTGGTGCTCTTAGAGGTCTTAACAGGGAAGCAGCCAACTGATCCATCAATACCTGAAGGCATGCACATAGTGAACTGGGTCCGGAAAAGGCTTCAACAAAGCCACAGGGGTGGGGCTCTCAATCTCTTAGAAGAAAGGCTTCGAGGTTGGCCACAAGTTCAACTCCAAGAGATGGTTCAAGCGCTTGGGGTGGCCCTACTTTGTGTAAACTCGATCCCTGAAGAAAGGCCCTCGATGAAAGATGTAGTAATGTTGCTTAAAGAGATACGGCACGAGGCCGAGGATTATGCCAAGGGAGATCCATTGGCTAAAGGATCGATGGCTAGTATGCCTTCGGCCCATTGTATTAGCTTCTCGAGATCATCTGGGCTGCTCATTGAATCATCATCCTCTATACTATACTCTAATAGCAGTGGTGGGATTTCTTTCCAATGAGCTTAGTTCTTGATTGTATATGTTACACAGATGAAGTTCGGTTAGTTGGATGGTTTAGATTGATCTACAAGGTTTTAAAGGATTGTGGGGCTTTTTTTTCTCCCTTCACTTTTTGTGTATGTATTAATGGATGAAGTTGATGTTGCTGAAGAGGTTCAAGATTGATGAAGAATGTATTGTGCCTCTCAGAGAGGTATTTATGAAAAGAATGACACATTTTTTGACATTGTTTTGCTTCTTTCCTTCACTCAAGAATTCCCTTAGCTTCTGTCCTGTTCCAACCTAAGAAAGAGGCTCTATATCTTTGAAACTAATGCCTTAGTCATGAAGAATAATGGAGTGGATTCTCTCTTATCTTTCTTTCAAAAGCAAAGAAGTGAAACAAATTTGGAAAGGAAAATGTTTTTATAGGACCAGCCCTATCAAAACAAGTAAAGCCTCACCTCAAAATTTAAAGATTGCAGTTATGGCATCAGAAAATCCTCAAATTGATCATCTACTATTATGGTTGTGAAAAAAATTAAGATTTTAGGCCTTAAAGATAGTGTATATTATAGCACATAAATTAGACGTCTATTTCGCCTTAAAAATGAGTATTCACATATCTACAAGATCTATATTTTTTTTTTAGCTTCAAATTTCATAGTCGGTATTAGAAATTGATTTTAGAGCCACCATGGAGATTTCTAATACCCAAAGTCCTTTCCCGACAAGGATTCGATTTGAAGCTTTACTTTGTTTTCCTAAAGTTTAGGTCTTATAAAACTGCATTTATTTGGAAAATACCATACCGCATGTAATTCGTGTTGTCTCAATCGTTACAGTGGACATTGGTGGATTGATTAGAGGGAAACAGTTCATCTAAATTGTCCTTTCTTGAGATTGGGAGGTTGAGATTACATGGGTACAATTTGTACCTTTCATATAATTTGGTGTGCATTCTTATCACATTAATTGAAGTGTCAACAACATCAAACAATTCTTCCCAAAAAAGAGAGGGAGAGAGAGAGATAAGAAATAAGGGGTAACAGTCTTCAGTAGCAGTTCTAGTTAGTTGGAAATTGGTGACTTGAGAATCTTTAGAATCACTTCTTGATTTAGGTCTTAGGAAGCTCATATCTAGAAGTGGATAATTGTTCCTAGGATTGATTCCAAATAACAACAAAGTTAAATCTAACAAATGAAGTTCCTTGTTATCATGAACAATGACCTGTGCAATGCTAGCAATATCTAAAAATGCATGACATAATCATGCTAGGAGCAACTGTAGTGTGCTCCTGCATTGGCACACTATACTTTAGTCCCTCTGAAAAATAAAAGGAAAATTGCTTCATGTGGTGGGGACCGCATTTCTACATTTACGGTCTGTGAGGTACAAAGCATTTATTATAAAGATGGATTCAAATAGGTGGTCTATCTAAAAAATAATTGAAATTAACGTTCCTAATGTTTTCTTAATAGCATTATTATTATTAATTTTCAAATTTTATTTATTTATTCATATTCATGATCTCCATAATAGAGATTACATGTCCTTAAAACTTAGGTCAAAAAATCCATCTCAAAAATAGATGGCATTGGTTTTTATGAGTCCATGTAGAAATGAGTCACCTCTTAAAAATCTATTTTTGAAATGGACTTCTGGATCTAATTTTTAAGGACACGTAATATCTAACATGGAGATCATGAATATGAAAAATAAATAAATTTTGAAATTTATAAATAATAATTTTATTAAAAAAACATTGGATCGTTAGTTTCAATTGTTTTTAGATAGACCACCTATTTGCATCTCTCTTTAAGATTAATGCTTTATACCTCGGGGACCGCAAAATATAGAAATACGGTCCATGCCTCATAAAACAATTTTTCAAAATAGATTTTTAAGAGATGGCTCATTTCTACATGGACTCATAGAAACGGTGTCCCGAGAAAAATCTAATTAGGACCAACTTTTTGGTTTAAAATTTTGGAATCCAATTTATAATCATCCGATGAGCATTTTCATGAAAAAAGTTGGTTTTCATTTTCTAATTACGTAGATATGGCAGTTCAAACATTCGATGCTCTCGGCTAAATCTTAAGATGTCAATTTTTTAGGCACTATAAATCATTGTATCTTTTTTTTTTTTTACCTAGTTTTAATGTAGACCGCGACACACCAAATTTTGCAAGCCCTACAATCTGCACCACATGATGTAATTTGAAGGTGCAATTGCACTCTTTGCTTTTTAATGTGAATAATAACTTTCATTATATAGTAGAGCAGAGCTCCTGAGATACATGGTTGAAGACGAAAAATAGGGAGGAACACTCCTTATATCCAAAATTGACCTATCCTAACTTCTGAAACACAACAATCCCAAAAACCTCGTCAATCCTGAAACACAACAATCTCAGGAAGCTGCAATTGTGCTCGAAAAACCAGAAAAGAAATTTTCTCTCGCTAGCTTAAGGAGGTTACATCCCAAAATTTCAGGTCCCAAAAAATACTCCTAGACAGGGTTCCAAGAGCATATAATATTTTGGGTTTTTGTAAATATAGGAATTTTTCAACTTCAATTTTCTCATAATTCAATGTCAAGCAAGTTCACAATCGAATAATTTGATCTTGAATAGTAGAAAAATATTGCTTTCACTGTAGTAATATCCAACACTGTATAACAGTGCAACATGATAGGGATCAAATCAATGGGGCACTAATCATGTTATTATGACATGGATGACTGAAAGTAAGATATGTCTACACCCTAATATGTTTTGTGGAGCTCCAAGTCCAACTTGTCCCCAAAACAAAACAAAGAGTAATAAGTGTGGAGTGCATCCAAATCACATTATGGGAGAACCCACTAATCATTAAATGAATTACAAAGAGTTAGTGTTTGGCTTTTATGCTTAATGCATCCACCCCTCTCACTCACATATTCAACAACGTCTTACTTGCCCTCTCTCACTTTGAGAAGTCATTTTAATCATTTCCAAAAACAATGAATGGGGCCTATAACATATGTGTCTAGAAAGTTGTGGCCTATTACCATGAAATCAACTGGGTTCTGCCTAACTGAGCCTTGATCATCAAGGCTGGTAATGGGCTTGGCCAGCCTGGCCTGGATCCCTATAGGCCTAGCTTGAGCCCGGCCCACACTGAGCTGAAGGAGCTCTAACCCAAGCCCTGCCTAAAATGTTTAAACAAATAAAATAAGGAAAACACCAGGCCGGGTTAGGTCAAATTAGGCCTTGCTTGGTCCTCGGGATACATACATTTTATGACTGGGGCCCGAGTTTTTCATGACATAATTGACTGGGCCAGACCAGGCCACCTACCCATTGCCTGCCCAACATCTGATTTACCGAACTTTGGATAATTTGGGCCTTTATACTTTTAGATAAAAAGTTTTTATAAGGTTAACACCTTATAATTTAGAATCAAGGTGCATGTTTAAAATCTTTTGAAAAAGGATATTTCTGATGTTGGAAAAAAATCGAACTAATCATCTCGACATGGAGATGAATAGTTATGGAGAAAAAAAGAGATTTCAAATTGTAAAAATAGTACATCTTGCAACACACTATCTCACCCCTCCATTTTCAAGATTTTCATATGTTTATAAGTCTCCTAGATTTGAATCATATTTCGGAATTCAAAATTTAATAACTAGAGATAAAAATAGATTACTGCACAATCCTAAAAGTTTTCGACCCCAAAATTGCATCTCACGACAAAGTTTGGAAGTACACCTTATTTTGATAGTTTAAGGTTGAAACCGTATGCAAACCACACCCTTCATTTATTACACCTTTTGTGCTTCATATCTTTCTTTTTTTTATTAGGAAGAAGATTTGTGGTTTGTTAAAGCCAAATTAGATAGCTTAGTGCAATTAATTTTTACTAAAGCCGATCATTGGAGAACTCATTTTCAATGAGATGGAAAGTAACACTCAATTAGAAATGGTGTGGCTGAAAATCTTGCTTTAAAAAAAAGTGTGATTGGTGAACCTTTCTAGCATGCAAACCATTGCCAATCCTACTTTACATGTCATGAGATTTTATGGGATGCCAAAATATTATATGCTCCTGCAAGAGCATATTGTTCATTCAATCACTGGTGTAAAATTTATCAATGAGTCTTTTAAATATTTCAAATTTTGAGGATGTAATTCCCTCAACTTAGCAACCAACTCAAAAATCAAATATGTAAAAAAGGGAATCACTTTTTGAGTGCTTGGAAAAAATCACATCCTAAAACAGAACAACACTACCCAAATTTTGGACAATCAAATCTAAATGTGGTGTTAAAGGCTCAAAATCCAATCTTTTTTTTCGTTTCTTTTTGTCATAATTAAAAATACACTCATCTAGGTGATTTTAAAGCCTATCCTAAGATTTCATGTCCGCACATTCTACTAGTAACTCTTTTGCAAGATGGAGTACATGTATAGTGCGCTCCCACTGGAGTACTCCATACTTAACTTGTGGATAAAAACATGATCATTAGAAATTGAAGAACTTTTCCAAACATGCAATGTCCCCCCCATGACGACGTACAACAATATGCATTGAACACAGTCTCTCTCTCTCTCTCTCTCTCTCTCTCTCACGTGTGAGCGA